TCTTCCTTCTATGCCTACAAGGATCACAACATAGTTGTCAGTCAGCAGACCATACAGCCTGACCAACACTCAATCCTCTTCCTTCTATGCCTACAAGGATCACAACATAGTTGTCAGTCAGCAGACCAGACAGTCTGACCAACACTCAACCCTCTTCCTTCTATGCCTACAAGGATCACAACATAGTTGTCAGTCAGCAGACCAGACAGTCTGACCAACACTCAACCTTTTTAGCCAAGGCTAGACGGACATATAATTAGACTGTCACCTTGGGTACTAGAACTCAAACCCTTGCTGCTGAAGATGTGATCAGCGCGCTATGAGAATGTCCTGTGTGCTGTGATGTCGGTTATGAACTGAACTGAGTTCAGCTCAAGAACGTATCTTGCAGTTTTGTTTCAACGGCTGTCATTGTTTGCTTGCATTCTACATCTGTGTGCAATCCAATTATTTCCACATTCAAAAATAAGAGTAATCTATTAAATGCAATTATTTTGTTCAAAAACTTAAATCTTAGGGAGAATTATTGTTAATACAGGTTGAATTAAAGATGACAAGTCTAAAAGGGTGTGCATGAATGCTAAATGTAAAGTCAGCGAAGCGGTTGCACGCAAAGAAATAAGATAGGCTAACAACGATTACCACAGAGAAAGTAATATTCATTTTGTATGAGGGCAAGACATTTCAGTGAGCTGAGACCCCGAGTGCCATCAATACTTGTTGCAACCAGCTCTAGGGTACACAAGGTTCGACTGAAGTTTAGTTGAAACTAACACCAGGGAAATATTGTCTAGGCCACACGACACGCTGACGTCAGACACTGATCTAACACCCAGCGCTTCACTAATGCTGGAATGGGCAATGCTCATTGACAAGGCATTTTGGGCTGCACGCAATCGGAACATCTTCATGTGTGAATGGTTATAAGTTGTCGTGAGTTCATAGGCGTCGGAGACACTCCCGGTGGACCTGGCACTTGGCAATCTGCGTCAGCTGCACGGCATCTTCCGGAATAGTTTCTCACATGACCTCGCAGATTCCCGGCGTCATCTAGCTCTGGGTGTCTGCAGAACGAGAAGCTCATTGCATGCTGGGTACAAACAGCGGGGGCTAGCGGCTAGTCATGGGCCTAAACCCCCAAAACCTATAACAGATTGTCGAAACCAGTGTTCCTCAAATTTGTATCACTTCGGCCCACTAGTGGAAGAGTTGAGTTGAGTCAAGAATTAACATCACAGCAATCGGGGCATTCCCAATCATGCTCTGTCCTCATCTTTAGCAGCCAGCGCAGAGTTCCAGTACTGATGGTACCGGTCACAATCTGGTTGAATGTCCGTCTTGGCTTTCCTCTGAGTGTAGTAAGCCGGACAGACCCTTTGGTCACGACTGCCTATCCCACAGCCATTCAGCCTCGCAGCACGTAGATCCACTTTAGGCTTTTTTTTAAAAATCGAGGTGGTCTCCTCTAGATCTGTTGTGTTTTGTCCCAAAACTGCGAGGTTCTGGTTAACGGAGTCACCTCATGAAGGATGTGCTTTTTCGGTCACGATCAACTGTCTTGACTGTGGAAAGGCTTACCAGGTCAGAGGAGTTACCCCCTGAGTGAGCCCTTTTCACCTATAAGGCTAGACCCAGAGACTCAGAAGGGTGAACAGTTGGTGTGCTCCTCTGGCTAAGAGTCTTAGCCATTTCAACACCGAGTCTCCATGATCCTAATTAAAGATCACTGGTTTAAACTGTTGCAAGTTGTAGTTTTTAGTCTGTAGATTAATTTGTCAAACAATTGGTAGATAGATTTGACAACCCCCCCCCCCCCCCCCGATCTATATAAAAATAAATTCCTGACTCTTACTAAAAGTGTAATTACTGTTGATACAATATAACACTTTTGTAGATATACATTACAAACCTAGATGTGTGCGTTTATGAGAGTATGAACAGTGTGTATGTTGTGTGAGTGTTTGTGTGTGTATATAGATATACACGTAAATATAGCGTAGTTGGCTAAACCTGACTGCGCGGTGACCGGGTGACGAACTCCTCGTGTTCCGGGTTCACTCCCGGGGGTAGGCAGGAAAGCCAAATTTCCTCCCAGATTGACGGTACCTATCATGGAATCAAGGCAGAAGGGTTGCGATATCCATAGTACCGAGCCAAAGGGTTAACAACTCATGGTTTCTGGATATTTAAAAAAAAAAAAAATATATATATATATATATATATATATATATATATATATATATATATATATATATATATATATATATATACAAATGCGCGCGCGTGAGCACACACACACAAAGTATTCCTTCATTTATTAAGTATAATGTTGTACCATTATGTCACATAGGGCTCACAGTCTATCCCGTATATCCTTTGCAGTCAGTTCAATATCGTGGGAGGATCCGGTCTAGCACCATAAGCCAGTCTCATCAACCATTGTTATAGAGTTTCATGTCGGCCTCCTCGTCTCCTTCATCCCTTTAATTCCCATTGCAGTGCCGTTTTGGTGATTCTCTCCTTGTTTCTTCCCAGGAAGCGCCCAATAAAGCTCAGTCTTTTCTGTCTTTTGACTGTTGATAAGTTTAAAAAAAAAAGTAAGCCAAGGACCATTTTCACGCCTTTAGGCATATAGGGCATACAGGGCTAGACCTATTTTTATAGACCAATCGGAGCAAGATGGGTGATGAAGTCAGCATCACGCCGGCCGCCTATACTTCCTGAGACTGCACCCTGTACCCATTCAGGGTCATTATTGACAAAACTCTGGCTTCGCCAGGGAGCGAACACATGACCTTCCAATCTGCAGGCGAGGTTGATACTAGATATTATTTCTTATTTCTTTACCCCTTTTAAATAAAACCCATTTTACGTTCATCATTTTCCTGCGTTTAGTGTCATACAGAGACAAATGGATATCTTTCTCGGCATTCAGGCGTATCTGGGAATGAGCAGGCAGATAGGTAGGACTGGCCGCACTTGGGAGTGTACTGGAGCCACACAAGGCAGATGTGATCTCTTTCTCCTATGGGACCAGGTAACAAGTGTATCGGAAGATACTAAAAACCCATACTTGGAGAGAATGACGCTGCGGGGGAGAGTCGGCAGGCATTGGCAACATTCCAGATTGGAGGGAAAGGCAAGACGAGTAGTTAACCAGATACCAACGGAAGCCGTGAGTATGCAGACTCTTCTCTGAATGTTGTGGAGCGAGAACGAGCTGATATAGACTTGTCATGGATGCAGTAGTGGTGTAACCGCTACACACACGCCTGAAAGTGGTGGGTTCAAGTCCTGACGGAGCGGGACATTTGTCTAATATGATCCAGGCTCCCAGGTGGATCCAGGATCAAATGGCTACCAGATAAAGTGTTAGAAAATAAAGGCGGCCGGCGTGATGTTGACCATATCACATATCGAGTGCCAACCGGTACATAAAATATACTTATAGCCCTATATACCCAATAAATCCCAAGGCTTGGAAAATGGTTGTTTACGTTCCTTATATTTTAAATAGTCTCTCTTTCTTTCTCTCTCTTGCTCTCTCTCCCCCCCCCCCCCCCCCCTCCTCTCTCTCTCTCTCTCTCTCTCTCTCTCTCTCTCTCTCTCTGTGTGTGTTTCGCTGCATTATTTGTATCCAGTGCACCCAGCTGAACCTGCTGCTACTATCGCCCCCTGGATCGTCCCATAGCCTCCCTTCCCTAAATGATCGCGGTAGCTACCGACTCCTGAAACGTCTTAGTTCCAACACCCCCCCCCCCCACCCCAATTCTTGTCTACGGCTGTGTGGTTTATCTGATGCTTGTGTCTACGGCTGTTTGGGTTATCTGATGCTTGTGTCTACGGCTGTGTGGATTATCTGATGCTTGTGTCTACGGCTGTGTGGATTATCTGATGCTTGTGTCTACGGCTGTGTGGATTATCTGACGCTTGCATCTACGATTGTCTGGGGTATCTGACACTTGTGTTGACAATTGCGTGGGCTATCTAATTATTGTGTCTAGGAGTGTGTGGGTTATCTGATGCTTGTGTCTATGGCTGTAGGGGTTATCTGAAACTTGTGTCAGCGAGTGTGTGGGTTATCTGATGCTCAAGTCGACGATTGTGTATGTTGTCTAATGATCTAAACTAGAATTGTGTGGGTTATCTGATGTTTGAATCTACGACTGTCTGGGTTATCTGTTGCTTGTGTCTACGATTGTGTGGGTTATCTGTTGTTTGAATCTACGACTGTCTGGGTTATCTGTTGCTTGTGTCTACGATTGTGTGAGTTATTTGACGCTTGTATCTACGATTGTGTGGATTATCTGACGCTTGTGTCTACGATTGTGTTGCTACTTTATAACTTAAGTGAATATGTGTTTTTAGATGGTCTCTGTAAAGGGAACTTTAGACCCGCAAAAGGGTCTCGATCCACATGCTGAGAACTGCTAGTCTAGGCAAAGCTGTGGGGAAATTTGGTTGAATTGAGAAATCATTTCTTATGGCCAGAAATATGTTCAATATGTATAGTTTATTAATGTAACCTCCATTTCCATTGCTTTTTCAAAGTCGATCACCGAATACGCAAACTTTCTATCTGTGTCAGTTATCATGCCACCTATTCAAATATTCTCTTTTTCTTAGTTGTCTTGTCGGGTTTTCAAACATTTTGATCTTTCAAAAAAAAAAAAAAAAAAATTACTTTAACAGTATTATGTTTGTTACTGTGCTGCACCTGAAACTATTGCATATTTACTCGATAATCTATCGTTTATTTGTTTCGAATAATGTGACTGAAAACCGAGTAGTTTCTTTTTAATAACTCTGCTTTGCGTTAGAGCTTTGTTTTATTTCGTTCTCCTTAAAAATAATATTTCTTCCTGAAAATGATTTTAAGTAGAATTGTCTGTTTAAAGTGGTGCTGTCATATCTTCCTGTGGTGCTGTGAAAACTTCCTGTGGTGCTGTGATATCTTCCTGTGGTGCTGTGAAATCTTCCTGTGGTGCTGTGAAAACTTCATGTGGTGCTGTGATATCTTCCTGTGGTGCTATGAAAACTTCCTGTGGTGCTGTGATATCTTCTTGTGGTGCTGTCATATCTTCCTGTGGTGCTGTGAAAACTTCATGTGGTGCTGTGATATCTTCCTGTGGTGCTGTGAAATCTTCCTGTGGTGCTGTGAAAACTTCATGTGGTGCTGTGATATCTTCCTGTGGTGCTATGAAAACTTTCTGTGGTGCTGTGATATCTTTCTGTGGTGCTGTGATATCTTCCTTGGTGATGTGATATCTTCCTGTGGTGCTGTGACATCTTCCTGTGGTACTGTGAAATCTTCCTGTGGTGCTGTGATATCTTCCTGTGGTGCTGTGATATCTTCCTGTGGTGCTGTGATATCTTGCTGTGGTGCTGTGATATCCTCCTGTGGTGCTGTGATATCTTCCTGTGGTGCTGTGATATTCTCCTCGGTTGCTGTGATATCTTCCTTTTGCCATGGAACCTGTGAGCTGGATTATGTTCCACTCCTTTGTTAAAACTTCTGTCAGACAGCAGTGATGCATGTGTCTCGTTTGTATAAACTTGGTTAGCTCCAATTCATGGATTCTTACTCATGAAGTTGAGCCAGTGTTTCCCAAACTTGTGTGGCCCGCCGCTCCTATTTCATTAAAAACATAAATAAAATAAAAAAATTAAAATAAAATCTCCTAGCGCCCACTCTTCTTTTACATATCATAATCATCATCCTGTGCCATGATGATAAGCATAGGCGATCAGGATTCGCCATCATATACGATCAGCAGAAATTTCAGCACTGACTTTCTTTCCTCTCAGTGTCCAAAGTTTGCGAATAATAAAACGAAACCCCAAACAATAATTATTACGTTATTGTAATGAGAAGGATAAAGCTAACTGGATATATTTTAATTTATTTGCTTATTCTGAAGCGGGTACAAACGGTTTATTAAAATGCTCCTTTGTCTGTCTGCCTGTCTGTCTTTTCGTCCATTTGTCTGTCTGTCTGTCTGTCCTGTCCGTCTGTCCGTCCGTCCGTCCGTCTGTCTGTCTGTCTCACTATTTATTGCTACTTCTTTCTATTAAATGCCCCCAGATGCACCTGAGGCTACTACCGCACCCCCCCCCCACCCGGAAGTCCCAGCGCCCCTCCAACAGTTTGGTCTGGACTGCAACCGCCAACTTAGGCCGTTCCAACGCCACCTCAGGGGTGGTATCGCCCAGTTTGAGAAACTCTGTATTAAGAGTGATATTCTGCTAGTGCATCATTTCTTTAGTTGAAAATCATGCCGCTGAAATCAGATGGGACACACAAACTCCCAGTATGCAGTAGAGATCACGTGGGACGGGACCTGACTTGTTTTATACAGCTAACAGTGTATTTCTATCATCGGTGAAAACAAACAAAAGATCACATAGGAGCACTTGTTGATCAGCCACCGACACCTATACACAATAGACTACTTGGGAGCGGTGAGAAAACCGTCACTGCTAGTCTACCTTTAACTTCGCACGATACTTAAATTCACAACAATTGATCATTAATGCAAGAAAAGGCAAAAAATAGAAGCGGAATAATTCAATAGAAACACAGTTTTTCTTCTGTTTTTTCTTCTTCTCTAGGTTCCCCGGTTGTAAATTCTGGACTCTAGTCCTGTCTCAGAACCTGAATGTTGCACACACATCCGTGTTACAGCTTTGATTTATATGCATGGAGACTGTTAGTTCATTGCCTCTAAGGCAGATGTACACCAGCTTCGAAGTAAGCTCCTAAAAAAGTGGTCTCATATGACATGCTTTTGGTTAGGCAGTGGATCTGTTATTTTGTTCTCCCAACATTGGTGGCCCTTGAGCCCACACAATAAACATAAAGTTAGAAAATAGATACCGGGGCATGCCGGTGTCTTGGGAAATGAACATAGGTACAGAGTAGCTGACTCTGCACCAAATAGTGGAATATCGATGCACGATAAGGCAGACGTGTTTAAGGCTTTGTAGGAGAACGTGTACACATCGGAGGAGAGAATGCAACAGTAAAGTCTGGTGAGAGTGATGCAGCGAGAGAGCCGAAGGGATCTGGATTCGACGCTCAGGGGAAAGGCAAGACAAACGTGTAATGAGAATGATGTTGGCACCACTGGTATTTGAACTTTGCGCTGGCTGTTGAAGATGAGGACGGGGCGTCTATGACAATGCCTCGAATGCTGTGATGTCGGTTCTTAAATGAACTCAACTCAACTTAACTCAACTAGAGACTGATTTATAACCAATGCAGATCTCAATATACAGCTATATAGAACGATAGAATAAGTGTTATTTTAGACACACTAGCGAATAATTAATACTGCGTATAAATGGAAAGAAACAGTAAGCGACGATTGGTAAACATGACATGTCCCAATTAACTTCACAAAAAATGAAACAGTAAGCTCCCTCCAATATGGGACGCAATATTTTTGTTATTTTTAAAGCCCTAATATAATCTACCGGGATGCAGGGTTCGATCCCAGCTGCGGGCCACGCGCCTTGCGTTGGTTTCGACAGTGGTATCAAGAAAGCCGACCGTCCAGAGGCAATGGCAAACTACTGGACGTAATTTGCCTAGAGAAACCACACAACAGCCAGGGGCTGTTAGGGTTGGTTCTGCAACGTCCTGTAAAGGATACGCAACAACCTTAATATAATCTAACGGTTGAACGCGGTTTCTAGTCAGAGTTGGCATATTGGCTTATTTAACGCCAGATTCCACAAATTTGGCGTATTTGAAATCGAACTGGCTTAAGATAATGAGTTGGCTTATTTAGAGTTGTTTGGATTTTTCCTGGCCTTTCTAAATAAGACGTGCTCACATTTTCTTCATAGTTCCGCGTGAGAAACGCGCTAATTTACCAAAAGCAACATAGGCCTACAGTTAAAATATTTATTTCAGCTTGTCTTTGTTGTGATGTCCTGGTACGGCTGGTACACGGACTAAAGAAGATTCGTGCCATCTCTTATGTATGAACATTGTGTATGAATATGTTGTCTTTGTAAACCGATCGTAACTGCGATTTATCAAGACCCTCTGTAATTGAAATGTAATCAAGCAGGTCATGGATAAACCATTGCACGTTCACACTTCATGCAATGCGGAGTCACGTAGCCCGAAAGACTTATACGTGCTGGTTTCTGGAGTTTGTTGAGAGAAAATGTTAATTTACTAGAATAAATTAAGGATATAAAACAAAAATCCACAAATATAATTCAGAAACTACTCGAGGATAGCAAATACGGATGACATAGACCTAGTTCTAACTGTGATAGATTTGATTACTTTTACCATTGGCTACGTTATCCGAAAATTGGAAAGGATCTTATAATAGCAATCGTAAGTATAATAGAAATTGGGAGAAAACATACCCAATGCTCAAAGGATCTTCAGACGGATCAGAGGCAGCATATTGTCAACTACCAGTGCACTGCTGTAACCTAGAATGAGTAACATTTCAAATCATGAAAAACACACACACACACGCACACACACACAAACATACACACACACACACACACACACACACACACATAAATTAAAACTCCGTCAAAAAGCCAGTCACAGCTTTTTACAACAATGACTTCTAGGCAAAGCAATGATAATGTTAGGGCAGCAGAGCTGCAACTTGCTGTAGGCATGACCCGCCATAGTGCAATACGCACAATTGATCGTCTAAGTGAAATCATAAGAGCGCTTGGTCGGGAAGTACATTGGAACACATACAGTTGCATCGAACTATAAATGGTAATGCGTAACATAAAAAAAAAAAATATTATATCCCCTGCACTTAACGCTGAGAATGTTTACGCTGTATCTTCAACTTATTCCAGTGAGGATGTCATTCAGGAATACAATGCAGAGCTTTTGAAGTTAAGTGAGAACAATGTTACAATTTATTTGGCTTTTTTTTCCTGACGTAATTTGCGCTTGGCTTAAAATATCTTTTTTTTTAAATCCAATCTGGCAACCCTGTTTCTGGTGTTTATCCCTTGTTGTGCGGTACTGGTGAGGTTGAACGCCACACTCAGAAATGAACAGATTATTCTAATTTGAAAGTCAGTGAGAGAAATCCAGATAGTATAGACGGGGAAAAAACATCCAAAAGGTGCTGGTGTTTGGTTCTGCAACGTCCTGTAAAGGATACGCAACTAACTTTATAGGCAGGAACAGTATGTGTGCGGTTTCCTCTGCATACAGATCAAATTCTAATTACGTGATCTGGTTTCTCCAAGTAGTTTTCTCTGGACGTGCCTACACGCATATGCTCATAATTTCCATGATAATGGCGCAGAGCCTCGGTGGCTGAGACCAGGCAACAGATGAAAATATAAACAAGAAGACAAATGGCAGTAAAGAATAAAGATAACTCATTAAAGACAGATATCTGATTTAGATTTGCATAACAATTTGCTGTCTAGATGTCAGGAACCGGCTCCGTATCATCCCCGGGTCGCTCGCTCTTGCTCGACACCGCGCGCTGACAAACACGCATGCGCGCGCGCACGCACACGCACGCACTTCTCTAATAGCACACGGGAACGCTGCGGGCGGAACGAGGAGCCATCAATTCGTAGCTAAAACAATCGCCAGAGACGTCAAAGTGTCGGATAAAATTGTCATAATACTATATTTCTCTGTTTCTGATCGGGGTGGCGGGCTAGCTCGCGGCACTGGAGCGGCTCTGTATTTGTTGACCTGGCTTCTGATTGGTGCGGAGCAGAAACAGTATAACCGCGCCAGACAACTCGTTGAATAAATTATGTATGGCGTCTTTTTTATGTGTTGCATGTTGTCTTTTGTTGTACATTCAATCTTGTTCATTTTTGCCGTGATCACTGTCAAGAGTTTTTTTCTGCAGCTAAACATAGGACCAAAGAACATCATGTATGTCCTCAGAGATGTCCTAGGCCTGGTTGTGCTAAGAGTGTGTAAATACTTGCGAGAGAAAGAAGAAAGAGAAAGATAGATAGATAGATAGATAATAGATAGAGAGAGAGAGAGAGAGAGAGAGAGAGAGAGAGAGAGAGAGAGAGAGAGAGAAGAAACAGAGAAATATGTTTATACATATATTATATATATATATATATATATATATATATATATATATATATATATATATATATATATATATATATAATATATATATATATATATATATATATATATAGAGATAGAGAGAGAGAGAGAGAGAGAGAGAGAAAGAGAAATATTATATCTGTAATAGGGAGGTGGGAACATAGGGGCTCACTCACAGTTAACCTCCCGCTTCCCAGTTCTGCATTAAGATATAAGTTAAATACATCTGGGGCTTCACAATCAGGGCCAATAAACCCCCCCCCCCCCCGCCTCCCCCATCCTCCCCCCCCGATCCAAATTTAAAAACACATTTAAATCCTTTAAACTGAGTAAACGAGGCAAAGAGTAATGTGGTTTCTCTCAATAGTATCCTGCTCCAAGATGTGGAGTCCTACACCTATTTGGGCAGTAATG